ATGCTGGATTCACACTGCATCCGATTTGCGTCGTACGACTCTCTTCAACCAATCAGAAAACAGAATTCCGATGATACGAAGCAAAATCCATCGGAATCCTGTTTTCTGATTGGTTGCAGAGGGTCGTACGACGCAAATCGGATGCAGTGTGAATCCAGCAATAGAGAATGGACTGCGCGATCCGCATCAAAGTAATGTATCAAATATGGTCGACAATAATGAGAGAGAGGGACCGTGGGAGACGACCAATCTCCCTCTCTTTCTCTCTCCCATTACACCATTGAATAAAAAGAGATACAAATGGTCGTCTGCCACGGTCCCTCTCTCTCTCATCCTTATCGACCATTTTGACACACAGAACGCGCGGTCCATTCTCTATAGGTTTGTCGCGTCGCATGCTCTAACATGCTCCAATATGCTCCTATCATAGCTTCTACTCACTTCAATGCACTCATTACCCCGGATCTACAATAGAGTTTTAAGCCTTAAGCCATAAGAAATGGGCGAATCACAGTCGCTTCTCGGATTCGACTGTAATTGGTCAGTTTCTTACGGCATAAGGCATGAAACACCTATTGTAGATCCGGACTTAGGCCGGTATTCATAGTCGAGTCTTATTTCAAGACTGTCTTAAGTAATGTCTTAAGACACTAATGCAGCCTTCTGATTGGTTCGAGACTTCTTGAGACCGTACTTAAGACGGTCTTGAATATAAGATCTGACTATGAATACCGGCCTTAGACCGGTATTCATAGTCGGTTCTTATTTTAAGACCATCTTAAGTAATGTCTTAAGTTGCTAATGCGGCCTTCTGATTGGTTCATGACATCTTAAGACTGTACTTAAGACGGTCTTAAATATAAGATCCGACTATGAATACCGGTCTTAGGCCGGTATTCATAATCAATTCTTATTTCAAGATTGTCTTAAGTAATGCCTTAAGACGCTAATGCAGCCCTCTGATTGGTTCATGACTTCTTAAGACCGTACTTAAGACGGTCTCGAATATAAGATCTGACTATGAATACCGGCCTTAGAGTGAGTAGGAACTATGGCAGGAGCATATTGCAGCATGTTGGTGCATACGACGCGAACAAATCTCTTAGGCCGGTATTCATAGTAGAGTCTTATTTCAAGATCGTCTTAAGTAATGTCTTAGGACGCTAATGCAGCCTTCTGATTGGTTTGTGACTTCTTAAGACCGTACTTAAGACAGTCTTGAATATAAGATCTGACTATGAATACCGGCCTTAAACGTCTTTGCATGGGGCGAGTTGAAGACTGCCATAGACTGGTATTTATAGTCGGATCTTATATTTAAGACCGTCTTAAGTACAGTCTTAAGATGTCACGAACCAATCAGAAGAGCTGTATTAGCATCTTAAGACATTACTTACGACGGTCTTAAAATAAGAATGGACTATGAATACCGCCCATAGATTTAGGGTGATGTCCCATGCAGCATATCGTGCGTAAGCGGATTCGCGTATCGCCAATCACAGAATCATTCTTTTAGATATGTTTGCAAATTTTGCATATGAAATATGTCACTAGTACTATAAATGGCTGCCAAGTCACGCAATTGGTTAGATTGCAACAGCAAATCAGAATGCATAACAACGGTTGCGTCTCTCTGATAAAGCGGGGAGCACAGACTCTTGCATAACGCATAACACGTAATGCATAAGAATATGTACCAATCGAAGTTCTCCGTTTCTTTCCCTTCCAAGTAATAGAGAACTCTGGTTGGTTCAATTTCTTATGCCTCATGTGTTATGCGTTATGCAAGAGTCTGTGCTCCCCGCTTAAATCTAGAACTCTAGTTTGAAGTAGAGCTATCCTTCAATGTTGTTTTTAGCTCCTCTCGTATGAACGTTCCATCTATCTTATAAAGGTCGCAACACAAACTTTTGCATAACGCATAACGCATAGTGCATAAGCGAATCAACTAATCAGAATCTTCCCTTTCCTCCTATTCCATGGAAAAGAAGAATTTCGATTGGTTGATTCCTTTGTGCACTATGCAGTATGCGTTATGCAAGAGTGTGTGCTGCGGCTTTAAGTCTATGAAGACTGCAAAGCAGCTAAGCTTACCGAGCGATTGAATATAATTGATTGGATCTATAAGTAACAACCAATTATGTTCATTTGCTCGGCGAGCAAGCTAGCCGCTTTGTCAATTTGAACGCCCATGGTTTCTATCCAACTTTCCAGCGTTGGCGGGCCAATTCTTGTAATATAAAATCTATTTTGTGCATTTTTAATTGGAAAATTTTGTTTATTAAAATTCCAACATGCAAAACGAAGAAAGTGAGGTAAATTAATAAAGATAAAATAATACTTTGAATATTTGTCTAATATAATATGAGAATATATTATATAAAATTTCTTTTTGAATTAAATTTACAGTCTGTCATTTATGCTATTTATAATTAATAATATTTATAATTAAACATATTGAACTTTAAATTCCAGAATAAATAACACACAGTGATATACACGGCAGAAATCTATTGTCTCCTCGCTACAGATTACAAAGGTTAAGTTCGATATTTCTTGACACTAGAAAACGAGCGTTTCAGTGTCGCATGAAAAGGCACCTTAACAGATCCCTACTACTTTCAATCCACTACACATTCACCGGAATGGGTGACCTGTCTAATTCTACCATGGTGATTAGTGGTGACCGTGATGACATTGGTTGTGTTCAACCGAGAAAGTAACTTTGAAACTGTGTAAAATTCTTCAATACAATTGGTTCTTACTTTTGATTCCTTATAGATCTAAACGTATAAACCAATCATATTGAAGAATTTTATAATAATTGCAAAACTGTTTTCTCTGCTGAACACAGCCTTTTTTCAATCAAATTGTAGTATTGCATTGACCAGCAGGCAGAATAGTTAATCCAGATTAGTTCCAGTTAGTCTGAGAGTGTTGTTTTCGATTGTGGTACAGGAGAAATCATAAGCAGTAAGTGAAAACAGTTCGAACTGTAAGTACTTTGCTTTTATTGATAAATCTATTTAATTCGCGAAATCGATTATCACATGGTAATGACGAACAATCCACACTGTGGATGCTCGTCAATATATCTTCAAATATAAAGCTGATTCCACAATGAATCGGTAGTCGGGAATCTAACCAGGGTTGTATAATGAGTCAGTAATCGAAAATCTTAAGCAATCCTAAGTTTTAATCGTTGCAGTTGACTAATAGCCAACTTGTACTAAGCCTTCTACAATAAGCCGCAAGTCAGAAGTTCTAAGCGATCTTAAGTCATAATCGGTGAAGTTGGCCAATAGCCAACTTGAACGACTTGGTTAAGACTGGTTAAGACTTCTGACGTTCTGATTTGCGGCTTATTGTAGAAGGCTCGTTAGACTAAGGTTAAGCCTGGTTAAGATTTCTGATTATGGTCTACCGATTTATTGTAAAACTGTAAAAACCCTGTAAGTCTTATCTTACTAACTAATCTTAACCTAAATAGGTGGCTATGATTTTTTGCATCTACAAGTTGTTAATTGTACAGCAAATCGTTTAGCTCGACTAATAGGAAGGAATAAATTGAATTTAGCCAGTCTTAAGAAAAT